ACCTCTCTCCGTTTGCTCCAGAGCAGCCCTGAGCTCCTCCAGCTCAGCCTGAAGCAAGTTGTTGCGCCTCTCAACAATGGCAATGTTCTCTTTGAGATCATCATTGGCCCGAACAGCCTCATCGAGCTGAATTTGGCAATCCTTTATGGGATGATATCAACCACATGAATGTTTAGAATCAGTTTGAATTTGAAACATAAGAAAGTCCGCCTTTCTTTTTCTAGTTTACCTTCAGATGTGCATGAACAGCCTTAAGTTGTTTCTGGGCCTCTGCTGCCTGCCTGTTGGATTGGCTCAGCTGGATCTCCATCTCATTCAGGTCTCCCTCCATCTTCTTCTTTAAACGAAGAGCCTCATTCCTGCTGCGAGTCTCTGCCTCAAGAGAGCTCTGTAGGGTGTCAATCGCCCTCTGCAGGTTCCTCTTGGACTGCTCCATCTCCTCGTCTTTCTCAGCTAGCTTGCGTTCAATATCAGCTTTGATTTGATTGAACTCTAACTGGGCTCTTAGAATCTTACCCTCTTCATGCTCCAGGGAGGCCTGGTGGACAGGGGGGTATAGAGTTATACACTGCAGCAGACAGTTTGAATTCTAAAATGTTTAATTCAGAGGGCCTGTACCTCAGCTTCCTCAAGAGCAGACTGGATCTCGTTTTTTTCCTGCTCCAATTGTTTCCGTAATTTCTCCAGTTCATGGATGCTCTTCCCACTCTCACCAAGTTGCTCAGTGAGGTCGGAAATCTCCTCTGTGGAATGGCAGGCAGAGTGATTAAGATGACTTTATAATTTAATTCATGAAGTATGTCTGCAAAAACTCGGACACAAACCCTGGCAGTAGATCTTACCTTGTAAGTTCTTGTTCTCTCTCTTCATGGTTTCCAGATGATCCAAAGACTCCTCGTAAGAGTTCTTCAGTTTGAAGAGCTCAGTGCTCAGAGCCCGGGCCTCCTTCTGGGAGCTCTCCAGCTCACACTGGGACTCTTCGTATTTCTGCTTCCACTCAGACAGGACCTACAGTGGATAGTAAGGCCAGCAATAAGTGTATATGCGCCAGATGACGTGTTTGGGAATTCACTTTATGTGAAACAATTTGTCCTATTATTGAAAAAAACACTCCAAGGTGGAGTTAAAGATAACACAAAGGCTGCATTTACACCAAATAAGGCGTTGCAGCAATTACCGCAGGGTTGTTGAACGGTGTGGGAGTATCACTTAAATTGCTCATGTGTTCATGTTGTGAACATCGGCAAGCGAAGGGTTGTACAGTTCTGGAAAAGTCATTGTGGCAGCGATCAGTCTCCCCTCCATCTTTAGAGCTTGGTAAACAGCGGAATGCTACATGGTAACCAAGGTTCTTCTTCTGGTTGGCGTCTTCTGGTCTGATCACCGGTTACCCCAATGTGAGGTCATCTTGCGTTTCTCCAAAAGTTTATTGGGTTTCAACCTTTTGCCAAAATACGGTTGTTGTTTTTTTACCCAGATCTAAATGAATGGGAGGACTGGCATTTTTTTGCCGAACGCCAGATTTGGTGTAAATGCAGCCGAACAAATTTGCTCAATAGGTGTTAAAGACACATTTGGACCGATGGAGAGTCACTCCTGTCTTGTAAAGCCACTATTTTATATCTTTTACAGATGGTATAGGCTTTTTGTGGAAAATATTGAGTGCAGGTTTAAATTTATGCAATGTTTTAGCCCAATCATTTGTATGCCAGAGTGTCTCTTTCATACTACCACTGGGAAGCGACAAAGTTAGACTTTGTCTAATTTTACACACTTTGGCTTTAATAACCCATGTGTTCCATTGGCCAATGAACTTCAAGGGACAATTCACCCCAATATCAAAAATACATATTTTCCCTCTTACCTGTAGTGTTATTTATCAATCTAGATTGTTTGGTGTAAATTGCTGAGTGTTGGAGATAATGGCCGTAGAGATGTGGCACGACTGGAAATAGCAGTTTTAAAAGTAAAAATATAATAATTTCCTGATATTAGTTCTTCAAAGGCTCAGAGCCTCAGACCCTGCCAATTGATAGTTTTGGTGCTCACAGATACTTAGCAGTATTTCACCTTGTCAAAGTTTCTTTGCTTCTTGTCCAGAACAGCAGCAGCAGCATTAGACCTCTCCACATCCACCATGAGATCTTCAATCTCATTCTGCAGCCTGTGTTTGGTCTTCTCCAGAGACGAACATTTAGCGTTCACTGCTTCAACAGCCTCCTCAGCATCCTGCAGACGCTGAGCCAGCTTCTTCCTTTAGAAATCAACCATTCAAATCGTTCAATGTTCTTGCAGTTGTGCTTACTGGATAAATTATAATAAAATCTAATATGGCTGCTCGGTCATCCAACAGACAAACTTTTTGTTCGTCTTACATTTTAGTAGGAACATAACACAAACAAAAAGCTGATCTGCTAGATGAAGTAAAATGTCTCATTAGGAATTATATTTCAAATCATGAATTTGTATGTTAAACTGTCTTACTTTGCCTCCTCCAGTTCCTCGGTTCTCTGGATGGCATCAGTTTCGTACTTAGTTCTCCACTGAGCCACCTCAGAGTTGGCCTTGGACATGCCGCGCTGCAGTTCAGCCTTGGCCTCCTGCTCCTCCTCATACTGCTCCCTGAGGAGGTCACAGTCATGACGAGCTGACTGCACTGCATGGGCCAGGGCACTCTTTGCCTGTCAAAACAAAATCATATGAATGAGTAACACTGTAAAACACTTTGATTAGAAGTTAATGTCCTGTGATGTTATTGTGCACTGAAACTTCATTACACCTTGGTCTCCTCCTCCAGTTGTCGCTTTAGATCTTCAACCTGTTGAGTGTAGGATATTTTTCCTCTTGTCAGTTGAGACACCAGGGATTCCTTCTCCTCCAGCTGCCTTGTGAGATCACCTTGTATCGGCAAATGCAGAATCATATTGTCAGTGTCCCAACGAACCTTTTTTAGAGATATTTTGTCTGGTTTTCTCTGTATTCATGGAAACTTGAAAATTGTCAGCTATCAAATACATGGAGCAGATATCAATATACCATTTTCCGTTTGAAGTTTTGCTTTTTGCATATTGAAGTCGTTTATGCAGCGTTGAGCCTCTTCAAACTTAGTCTTGTATTCATTCATCTGATCTTCCAGAGTCCTGCATGTCTTCTCTAGATTTGTCTAGATTTAAAAAATAAACATTTTGAATATTACCATTGTACCCCGAATTATACCCCATATCCATACAATTTCAACATTAGCAAGAAATCATTTCAGCCAACCTTTGTCTTCACAATATGTTCCATATTGGAGACCACGTCATCCAGCTCCAGTCTGAACTCACTCTTCTCCTTCTCCAGTTTCTGCTTGACTCTCTGCAGGTTGTCAATCTGCTCTCCCAGGTCGGCCACACTGTCGGCTTGTTTCTTCCTGAGTGTGGCAGCAGTGGCTTCATGCTGCAGAGTGGCCTCTTCGAGGTCTCTGCGGAGTTTCTGGAACTCGGCCTCTCTCTTCTTGTTCATCTCAATCTGGACGGATGTTGCTCCACCGGCCTCCTCCAGCCTCTCACTGATCTCCTCCAGCTCTCTGGCCAAGTCTGCTCTCTGCTTTTCCACCTTGGCTCGGGCAGCTCGCTCTGCCTCCAGCTCTTCTTCCAGCTCTTCAATGCGGGCCTGTAAATGCAGAACTAGTTGGTTACTATTACCATCAAGGGTTTTAACCATTTTTAACCATTACACATTACTGTAATCATCTATTACCTGGAGCTCCTTCAATTTCTTTTGAAGCTGAATTGTTATGGCCTGCTCATCTTCTATTTTGCTGTTGAGCTGACTGACTTCAAAATCTTTCCTGTGATGAAATACAGTAATTAGGATTAGAACAACTGGTCATCGGTTCTGCTTTTATCTGTAGAGCTTTAATGTCTTGTATGAGTTCCAGGCATACTGTACATACAGTAGTATAATGTGCTTACTTTTTCAGATGCTGTTCAAGTTGCTGCTTGTCATTCTCCAGGTCCATCAAGCTCTCCAGGGTCAATTTCAAGTCTCCCTCTAGTTTCCTCTTAGCTCTCTCCAGATCCATCCGAATCTTCTTCTCTTGTTCCAGTGAACCTTCAAGCTGAACAATATTATTGCAGAAAGTCAAACTATGTATCCCAATATGCAAGGAGCATATGGTATTACTGAACACTTAGGGATTGCGACAATACGTAATTCTTACATCATCCACTTGCTGCTCCAGCTTAGCCTTGGCCTTGGTCAGAGTGTTGACTTTGTCTTCTTCACTCTGCAGATCATCCAGAGTTTGCTGATGAGCTTCCTGTAAGGCTTTCTTTTCCTTGGTCAACTTGGCAATGATTTCATCCAGAGCAGCCATCTCTTCCACCAGGTTCTTCACCTATGGCCAAAGGACATTTATATATCAAGGACTTCAATGCAGATGTTATTTGGAACACTTTACAGTGATTAGTGTACATCATACCTTGTTCTCAGTGGCGTGCTTCTCTTTCTCCACTTTAGCCAGAGTCAACTC